TTTTCATTCTGGACACTTCATATTTCCCCAGTTAAGAAAGTGTTTACACAGAACGTTAATTGTTCGATACAGCAAACTGTATGAGAGTCTATTAAACGTCGGTCGAAGGGTAGCTACTTCAATTTGGTTTGCCATAAACATGGTTTACGAGCAGGACTTTGTGATACACCTACGTAGCATAGTCGAAGCCTTTGTCTGTCTTTCTATTTGTAATTCTGAAAATACGGTTTTGACTTGATTAAGTACGTAACAAAAAAGGTTTGAAAGCTTTTATCTACATATAAATGCAAGTGAAGCTTACGATTTATTTATTTGAGCATTTTACATAGGTTTAACATGAAGAGATTTTTGGCCCACTAAGCATATACTTAAATGGTCCTTTCGATATGAACTTACTCATTGAGAACACTTAAGCACTCAACTACCCAATTAATTGCAGGTTATAGAATTATTACGGGTGGTTAAGCATTGGAATGAGCGCCTGTGAAGAAATTAATAGCAATACCTCTCAGATTATTTATTGCCTAATAAATAATATTGCGTTTAATTTATAAACGATTTCATGTTATTAATACGTATTAGTTGTTATGTTTCACGTTTATAAATCATTTATATTCCGCTACGTATGTTTTGTTTCGGTATATCAAATTTATTCTATACAAAGGACTGTATTTTTTGTTCGAAATTTTATATGAAATAGCTTACTCTTCTTTTGTTATTTTTTTTGTTTAAACGCGTTAATATTCGAAATTTACAGTTCGGTTAAAAAAATCCTATTTGCATTTTATAGCCGATTCATTGACAAAGGTATTTAACGTTACCTAATAAATAAACTATGCGAGCGGAGCCACAGGCGTTATCTATTATCATACAACTTCTACTACATCATACCTCCTCAGTAATCGTAGTTGATAATTTTGACTACTTTTATCATTAATAAATATTTAATAATTATAATTTCATTAAAAAATATAATTTCATTAAGAAATATAATTTCATTAAGAAATATAAAACTTTCTACCAATATTATTAGATCTCACTGCCTTAAATGTCATTATTTTCCTCAAACCATAAATAATATTTTATTTAATATCATTGAGTTGCAGAAAGTGTCGTAAAAATAACGTGTCGCAGGTAAACAGATAAGACTAATAAAGCAGGGATCACGTTCGAACGATTTAGTGGGGAATGGCACAAAAGTTGGCGGTAACTAAATGAACTCAATTGGCAATGTTTAAACGCTCCTACGTGTGCCGTAGGGGTGTTATTAGACGGCACTGCGATAGATTAGATCGGCCTTAGTAATTAACAGTTTCGCTAATTTATATAAAATAAATCACTATTTCACGAGAATCTTTTTATTTTCTCTTATATATTTACTAGTGATCTTTCTCAATTAATTTATTGAAATATATCCCACGAGATACTTTTGAAACTGTGGAAAAACAATCTATTTCTGTGCGAAAAGTCGTGACATTTTGATCACAGTTGATGTGTAATGTAAGCACATATACACACATAGACATGCTGACATATTTTGGGCATTTTTATTTTAGATTTTTCTTCCTTTTGGGTTTGGCTCTCTTAATATATCTTTCTCCAAAATACCGTTTTTGAATCGTTATCGGGTCGTTAGCTTTCTTCATAATTGGCATAGGTGTCCGGTACTTTTACAACATTCTGACCCTCATGGACTACACAGCATCAATATTAGGCTACATAGAACTTATCAGAAAACATCAGCATTATTATTTGCTCCACACATTTACTGCGGTTTTAAAGTCATTTCCCTTCAACCGTAATAGTGTATATCTCTTAGCATTCAAATATGTGTCTTCATCAAGGGTTAATTTATTGGAAATGTGTTGGTCACTGACTTTCCTAACTTCAATTACATATAAGTACATCTTTGAAACCTCGATTTTTAATACATATTAATAAAACTTCAAATGCTTTGTTAAATATCTGTGAAAGTAAGTATAAGTAAAGTTCAGTCACCGTTAATATTGGATTCAGTTTTTTTTCAAATCCTTTAATAATTTCCAGACGATTTTCATTTGGTTTAAGAATATTAAATGCGCTGAGTGAGCACTGAGCGAACGTCAGCTCATCGAGCTTATGCTATAACTCCTTAAGCATATATCAAATATGAAAAAGTTGTTACTGCAAGCTTAATTAGTAATCCGATCAATTTAGACATGCAAAGGTACAAAAATTCGCATAGAGCTAAAAATTTGTAGGTATGTTCGAAACACCATTATATGTGAAATCTGAAACAAAAAAATTTATTCAAGATCAAAGGTCACAAAAACGAGGTTTTTGCATTTTTTTAGCAAACTAAAAGACAAATAAAACTAGGGACTAAAATCATAGTTGATAATAGACGCACCTTGAAGTTTTTCCTTTATAAAGAAAAGTAATGTATCAGCAAATTAATTGGTTACATAAGGCATAAGAAACAATTTTCCACATTTTAACTTCAAGTTCAGCATATTGAAATATTATGAATTTTAGTAAATGAAGCATTTTCATCGGAATCGGCGATTAAAAAAATGAAATAACACAGAATTTATCAAATATTTGAAATATTTTTTTACATGTACAGTTAAAAACTTTTTTTTAGATACAGCTTTCAGCACTTCAATCACTTATGCTAGAAATATGAACTAGCAACGAATATGAAATTGCAGCGTTTGCTTTATTCATAGACTACGATTCAAGAGGTGGCTCTTAATTTGTTTGAAGAATAAGGTTAATCTTATAATTCTGTTATACAATGTCCAGTTATTAGAGGACAATTACTTTATATTGCTTGAAATTTATTTTACTGAAAAAGTCCTTTATTTGCAAAATATGGTGTTCGAATTAAAAATATCAAATTAAGATATATAATTCGGTTCGCTTCTGATAAAATCGAAAACTAATCTATCTCACAGACATGAAATAGATCAAAGTAATCTATGTGCTATTTCAGATTATAATCTATCTCCATGTCAAATTTTATCCAGATCCGTTCAGCCGTTCTGGCGTGATTGAGTAACAAACATCCAAACATCCATCTAAACTTTTATAATATTAATTAAAAAGTTATTCCATTCTCTAGTTTTAAGTGGTTTAAAAAACAAGTGTTGTTTAATCCCTCCACGACCACGAACACGCCGCCGTGTCAGTTAACAATAGATTTCTTAGAATTTTAATTAATTTATTAGAAATGTACCTGGAGGTGTTAAATATAAACGATACTTAAAACAATATGTGTTTTTTTCATCTATTCCCATCTTCTAAGGATTTCACACATCTTTCAAGGACACTCCCAAATTTCCCTCATCATCATTGAATTCCTGATAATCCAAGAGAATAGAAAAGAGAATTTTTTGGTTACCATTTTGGTTTAATGTGATAAGGCTTTGAAACATTCAAAAAACCTAATTAAATTTTATATTTAAATGAATAAATATAAATATGTTGGAACATTAACACACCGCACCATCTAGTTCCATGGTAAGCTACGAGGTTTATGTTATGGATACCAGATAGTTGATACTCTACACATATATAACTTTAAATACATACATATTAAGTACCAAATGTATATGATATTACAATTCCAGCGATACTTACATTAGCCCTTATTAGAGAAAAAATAAAGTCTATTTTGCACTTACAAGGGTATAGTACCTATTGTAAGCGATTTATTTACATTGGAAAACGTCGAGATATTAAACTGTTCACCTATATGAAAACATTTATTCATACCCATTCATGTATCTACGCAATAAAACGGGACCATTTGCATGAAAACAAAAAGCGGCGTCTATGATTTTTATACCAATTTAATGGCAGCATAAATCAAAAAGATAAAATTGTATCATTCGTCCCATATTCAGGGCCCAAGCCCTTGAGGTATGCCGTTTTCATCGTCATATTAACTTTTGAAATAAGAAAACATAGTTTTAAATTTGTTCAATTTGAGAATTTCAGGAAGTATCTAATGGTTATTGCGGATAGATAAAAAAAATATCTTTTATTTTCTTACACCGTACATTTTCTTCAGGGTGTACTAAATTTACGGATTAGTACAAGCTATGTATAAAAATTACCTAATATAAATCGTTCATGATAAAAAATTGTAATATAGCCATTAGCAAGTAATTACAAAGTCTGAGTTAAAGATGTCGATAAATTTGGCCATTGCGTTGCCCTAAAAGGAAAACATTCATATTGTCTAATGTTTTCCCGCTGCCCTTTAATTATGTACCGCGTTTCCTGCCAGGCATTTCTAACCAAATTACTGTCAGCTTATCACTTACAAATACAAATAGAGGAGATTTTTCCCAAAAAATGGTATACGCACGTGAAACATTTGTTTAATAACATTTTTAAGTTACTGGATAAATATGTGAATGTATCCAACATTGAATCTAAGGAGTATTAATTGACTAATCGCATAAATATATAGAAAATATAAGGTTTCTAATATTTTACTAAGTATATCAGAAAACATTTCCCTAAGGAGCGCCAATAGCACCTGCCCACATAAAGCGTACCTTGACCGTGTACTAATGACAGAGACGTACCCACTATTTCACAATAATGACAGGCATTGCTCTAATGGGATAAACGGTAACTCAGAACAAGGTTGTGACGCCCCGACCACGCAGTGCCGCGAACACTGCCGCTCTGAGGCGACACTACGCCAACAAATTGGTAAATGGCACCACTCGAACGCGTATCCGTTCAATCTACTTAAGACAAGAAGATTATCCAGTCTGTTCTCACAGTTGCGGCACAACGGTGCCTTTAATACTGGGAAATTCTTCAAAGAAGTGGAAAGATTCAGTGGAAAAACATGGAGTTCGTGCCGTAATGTAATCCTACATTTTTATTTAGATTACAATTTTTGTACCATCCAAAATCGACAATATGAGAGCAACGAGTCAAATTTATGTAAATATATCTATTTTGGTTCGGTTAGTTTAAAACTTTAGAAATCAGCGACCATGAATGGAGTCAGTGTTTCGGTTGAGAAGGGGGTGGAGATGGGGCCTAAAGAACAGAAAAAGAAGCGAATGAGTGTGAAGGAGAAACTTATGCAAATTAAGTCTAATATAACAGTGGAGCCGATTATTGCTTGTTACATTATGTCAAACGTCTTTTCTGGATTAGCTATTCAAAACTTAAATTTAGAAAAGGCGTGTAGAGTTAACTTAGGTTACAGTGACGAAGTTTGCTCAGCTTTAAATAGGCGACAGACCGAAAACTACACGATGGAGGAATCGGAAGTGCAAAAGTTGACGGCATCAGTACAAGCTTGGAAAAATATAGTACAAACCACATTTCCATGTATACTAGTTCTTTTCGTGGGCTCGTGGAGTGACAAAACAGGGAAGCGAAAGGCGTGTATCCTCTTGCCCATTGTTGGGGAGGTTTTGTGCTGCACCAGTTTTATGCTCAACACATACTTTTTTTACGAATTACCTTTGGAGGTCACGGCCCTGTCTGATTTATTTCCGTCGTTAACCGGAGGATGGATCACAGTTTGCGTTGGTGTATTCAGCTACATTGGTGACGTGACGACGAAAGAAATGAGGACATTTAGAGTAGGTGTGGCTAATTTGTGTATGTCTTTGGGAATACCAATTGGGATGTCATTGAGTGGAATCCTATTACAGCAAATTGGCTACTACGGAATCTTCTTCATATCCAACTGCTTATATTTTACAAGTTTAATTTATGGATATATACGCCTTAAAGATCCAGTTATTCCTCATGACAGACAAAGAGTAAGTTATTTATTATTCATAATAGCTTAAAATTAATATAATTAAAAAAACATCCCAAAGTTTAATATTTTCGATACTAATAAAAAATGATAGAGCTAGCCTAAAGGTATAATAAGAAGGTATTAGCAAGATTATACTTACTAAACAGTAAACGCCAAATATTAATTTACGATAGTATAATTTCAAATACAATTTCAAGTAAGCTGTAATAAAAAACGAAAGTTTATAAAATGTAAGCTTGTAAAGTTGGCAGCAGCTATCAAGAAGTACTTAAACAAAGTTGAGACAGTATCTGAGCCAATTTAATCGGAAGTGTAGGGTTACTGGTAGACTAAGGTACAGTTGAGGCCGTTCATCATTCGTCGGAGCCGGTCCTACGTCTAAGTGATAAATTACTCTGTGCCACTACGCAAATTCGAACGAAGGGGAGCATCGTAACGCAATCAGTGGTTTTCACGAGGCTCAGATAGGTGTCTGCATTTGTAATGGCACTGATCTATCGCGATACGACTGTCAATTTATTCCGTTTGCCGCGGATGTTGTACGAATGATTTATTTTTCGGTTTCAATGAAAAATAGATAGCACTTTTTGCTGGATTTGCACCGCCTGTTATCATGATTCAAAAGTCGTTCAAACAGCGAATATTTGATAGGTAGTGGCGATTTGGAATCGGCATTTTTCAATGAAAATTTTTATCTATATTAATGCAACAAAAATATTCCCATAAATATTGCATTTTCATTTTGCTAATAGTACGAAATATATGGGTCATGCGATTTTTACTTTTAGATTGGATAAAATAGCAGCTATGGAGGTTATACAAATAATTGATACTTAACAATCCGATTCGTGTATAGTTCTTGTAAAAGGAAATTGGAAATAATGATTTAGGTAACTTGAAGTGAGAATTATTATACGTACTTTCATATTAAGCACTATGAAGTGTAACTATAAACTCGCCTAGGTAGAGCTGTCGACTCCATTAATATAATCTGTGAATGAAACTTTGTCGTACCCTAATAGTATTCTAGTGCAATTGTAATCGTATAATGCAAATTGAGTCATGTCTATCTTAACTTTACAGACAAAGGTAATTTTAAAGAAATCACATTTATTTTGTAATATGAAGATTCTGTACAAGTTAGTGTGTTTGTTGCTTCGTTACGTCTTAACGGCAGCTGTAACAACAGGGCTGAGCGAGAGCTTATATTGTAGATCACGCTATTGGTAATTTTTTATCGACGTACCTGTCACAAGAGCAAGCTAGGCCGAGAGCAAAAATTAGTCATGGAATGTTTAATGAAAATCGTATTAAAATATTAAAAAAAAAAAACTAAATATCTACTGTAGCTAAAGTTCATCACTCATCATTCAAGAAAATCCATTATGATGTAATATTTGAAACATAATATTATATATCACTTATAAAAGTTACATTAAATCGTACTATTATTTCAGTGCAATTATAAAATGCAAATAGAGATACGAAAAGTTCAACTGCTAAAGTTTGGATATTTGACTTATTATAGAAATTGTTGATTTGTTCTTTACAACTTATAATGAGTAAAAACATTTATGTTTTAATGTTATACTAATATTTGCCTTCGACTTTGCCTGAGAATATTCTTCGTACCTCTGTGTACATACAAATTTTTCATGGAGTCGCTTGAAAAGTTTTAAAGTTGATGTGCCGCAGTGCACAAACTATTGATGACTTACAGTAAAATGGCTAGAATAAAAATCTTCTAGATGCAAATACTAATATGTATTAAAATTCTAAAGTAATCTGTAATAAATTTTCGGAGATTTGCTAATTTTGCATAAAATAAAAATCTATGAACTAATCTAATTTCGTATAGTAACAAAAGAGGTTCGACAAATGTGCAATCTCTTTTGTCTATTGCTTTTCGGGTGACAAAATTAAAATGCCTAGTTGTTTCGTTTAAAAAGTACTTTATGTGTTGTTCGACTATGTGTTTGTGTGTATCTGTTTTTATATATCAATGAATGTATTATAAATATAGTTATAAAGATTTGAATGTATGTGGCATGTATATATTTTTATACAATAGGAGCAACCAGTGGGCTGTCGTGGATGGGTATGCTCTTTCTTCGATGCAAGACATGTGAGGGAAACGCTTACAGTTGCCTTCAGAAGTGGTCCTCGACGGAGGAGACTTAGAGTCTCTTTACTGATTGTGGTAGTCTGCGTAATATTTGGACCTTTACATGGTAAGTTATGAAAAAATAATATATACTTCATGAAACAACATTTTACTGGCAACATTTTGTTAGCAATTGCTTTTATTAATAGAAAGACAGACCCATAAGAATTCGAGTATCGACTCTAAAAGTGTAATTTTAACTTTTGTCAAAAAAATTATAACTTTATTGTAGGTACAAAAATAAGCAAATCATAAAAACATATATGTATTTAAAACATACATTTATCATTAATCAATGTATTCAGTGATTCTGAACTAAATTGGTCTAAGCCATGTGTGTTAAAGTGTTATTATTTATATGCATAATTTATAGGAATGCTAAATTCTATATCCCATATATCAATATGCGAAGTAAAAGTTAAAGTCACTTTTTATTCCTACTTTACTGTCAGAAAGCTATCACGAAAGTACAATAAACGTATAGCGCTATAAAAGAGATGTTGCTGTTATACTTTTACGAATAAATATATGTATTTATACTTTTCGAATTATGCTGAAATTTTAAGAACATATTTTGTTTGTTATTTAATGAAACTGAATAATTACACAACTCTACAAAAAAAATATATCTTTGTACTAAAATTTATTTTATGATTTTGCTATTTATTATGATTTGAATGAAGAATAAAATACCCATATTCCTTAAAAAGTTTGCTTTTATGGTGCTTATGATAATAGGTAAATACTGTTTCTTGAGTTATCACATTTAAAAATGAGTATTGAATAGTTCTGATGTAATTCATTCAATTCCATTGTAATTAATTCAATTCCATAGAACATGGAGAAGGTTTTCATCAAGACATCATGGTCTTCAAACACCGTTATCGGGGCCAATACAACGAAAATATTATGGGTTTTGAGGTTTAGTGAGAGAAAGTACTTATAAAATTGAAAAAAAAGTAATAGAGTTCACGTTTAAACTTTTTTCTACTATTTTGTAATTTTTTTGTATTTTTTTGTAATGTGATATGATAGTAAAAGTTGATGAAAATGAAATTTTTGTTTTGGTATTGTTATAAATAAACATTTTAACTATGGATTTTCTAAAATATTAATAATATATTAAAAAATTCTAAGTTATCGATAAATCTATCCAAATTTCATACTCTCTCATCAAAATCTAAATTCGTGTGGACCTTTGTTATTTGTAAAGGTTTATTATTTTATTTGATTTTAATAGTCAGTATAAGGTCCCCCGTAATACATAATTTATAAAAACGAAAGCTAGAGATTCTTGAGTTAGTCTCTTCAATTGTGAGTTAATTTATTTTTTTAATTTGCTACGATAGCCATTACACGCATATCAAGGGTTTTATTATTAGTACAATATACTTGCACAGTAAAAGTCCTGATAGCTTAGAAATGTTGGAGTGCTCTTAAGTTTTATAATATATTATATTATAATGAAATACCAAAGTATATTTATAAGGCCTAATAATTGAAGTTTATAACGAAATATTTGACGTTACAAAACATTTATTATTATTACATTTATAATTTTACTAGCGACTCATCCTCGCTCCGTTCGGTGTCGTCTCTAGGTACGTTTAAATGGTTAGTATAGATTTCCTAGAGATGAGATATTTTGACCCGAATAACCAGCTATCATCATACCCACCAAAATCTGTCCAGTGGTTTTCTCGTGATGCGTTCCCAGACAGACAGATAGACAGACAAAAATTCTAAAGACTATAGATACGGCCTCTGTATCGATAATAATCTCTATTTCGATAAGGTTTTCCAAAAAATATTTAATGTACAGATTCGACTCATTCGTTTTCCGTTGCATTTAACAAGGTAAAACTATATTGCATATTGTTTTTACAATTTCATCATGCATTAAATTAATTTCGTTATATATATTAGGCTGTGAAAAAAATCTGTTCAAATTTTTTAAAAACCCATTTATTTCTTATTTTCCTTGATTATAAAAATGAAAATTTCATTAACATTGTTCGACCGTTCTTCAATGCAAATAAAACAGACAGGTAAAAGGACGGCGTTATTTTCACAATCATAACAGCGTATGGATTACATCACGACGTCCATATATTATTACACTTTGACGACACGTTTAGCTTAGTTTGTAGTGAACCTACTTGCTGTGTCTGAACATACATAAAAAATCTACCCCTAAGTGTAGAAAATAGGGGATGACTGGTTTTTCACCTACTGAATTTTTAAAATCTTTCTTCTTATTTTGCTAAATCAAAACTACCAATCAATTATTTTTTACTTTTAAGTGTATTTTTTGAGTCGGTTCTTATTTTATTTTTGAGTTTTATCGATGTGTACGCAAACAATTAGCATTTTTGAGTTTATTAGCGCAGAATATGTGTAAATGACGTTCATAATATGCGCATCGTCGGCGCGTTTTGTACCGTAGTGTATACACACCCTTTCAAGTTTATCAACGCATAATAAGTAGAATTCTTCTTCTCCCTGCCCATTTCTCAATATACTTGGGGTCGCAGTACATCTTCTGTACTGCTGAAAGGATTTGGCAAAAGTTTTACGACCGGCCGCCTGCCTGACGTCAATCCTCCTCGGGAATGCTATTGTCTCTCTTTGTCTGAATGGTGTCGCGGAATTCTTGTAATTGTAATGCACTTTCGATTTTGTTATCTTTTAAAACATTTGTTATACTATTACTTAAAATTTTAATGTTATTTTCGGATATATTTTAAAATAAATTTTGATTACACAATAAATTTTGTTTTGACGTTGTCAATTTTTTTCTAAATTATAATAAGCAGAATATCCGCAGATAATAATAAAATGTGGTGTGCCTAGACTTTAATATACATAAGTATGTACATACATATATAAATTACCAGGATGCTTTACGTCCTGAAACTTAAGAATTCTGTTTTGAAGTCTCTATTATAAGAGCAATGATGACTACAACTTCCTTTACTTCATTAGAGTTAATTTAAATCTACATCAGCAAGTCATTTTCATCATTTACCTACTGAATACTTACTACTTTTTCGTGTCATTTGACTTTAATTAATGAATAACATTGCCATTCAACGGGAGAATGCGGCTAGCATTCTTGCCACTATTCCACGCAGACATGACTTGTACAGTAATAATTAAGTGTACTTTGTTTTGTATATATAATTATGTATATTTGTAATTTTCTTTATTGTAAATAAAGAGCTTTTTATTTTAAATATTAATAATAAAGTGATTATATGTTGAAAAATATCTTAATTGTACCATTTTCATTGTTTCCGTGTAATTCGATTAATACATATTGAGTTAAAAAATAATATATAAATTAAACATTTAATTAAATCTAATCAAAAAATAATTTACTCGAATAGACAAGCATTTTACAAGTACTTTTAAACTGTCATTTTTTACATTTTTTAAATTTTAATGTCAGTATGTATCTACCGCCGGAAGGCAGTTCTGCTGAGAAGAGCCAACGAAACTCAACAGTTGCTCTTTTAAAATAATAATTGTTTACAGCATATAATAATTACAATATATATTAATATGTAGTAATTATCTACTTATCCTACGTGAGACCCAAATAGATTAGTTCTACATATTGACATCTACAAAACATTCCGTGATGATGTAATTAACTTAAAAAGAAATGGCTATTCTTTCTAGATACATAATAATAATCTTTCAATGAGCATTAAAAATTGGAAAAAGCTTTGAAAATACTGAAGTATTTACTAAAAATCTTTTACATAAGTTCTATCCTCCTTTAAGCTCACAATAAATCTCGTATGTGTGTATATTGTATACAAAGCCAAAAGCAAACGTTATTGTGAAATATAAAGTTAAAATGCCCTTTGGCGTTTATTTTCCTAGAAAGGTGGTGTTTAAAGCTCGATATACTTCTTTATTCCAGGGATATGCCTTTCTAAACAAGAAAGCTTTTTTAACTGTTACTTTACTTATCACTTACTTTATCTAATGTTGGCAGGTGAAATGAACGTGCTGTACCTGTTCATGCGGTATAGATTCAATTGGGATGAAGTACAATTCAGTATGTTTTGCACGTATAGCATCATTACCAATTTAGTGGGTAAGTAAATAATTATATACAAAATCTATATATATCCGTCTGTCATTCCGTCTGTCAGAGGACCGTATCTCATGAACCGTAACAGGTGGACCTTTAACATAGTTAATGAATAATTTTGTTAAAGAACAACCTTTGTACAAAAAATTGTAATCAAATTTTAAGTTATTTTGGCCAGAAATATATAGTTTTTCATAATATTTTAGCATTTATTATCCATTTAGGCTTTAATATTTAAGAAAAAACCTTATTTTATTATTACAAACATCAAACTTTCATCCCTGCGGTTTGGTTTGGATGTTGACAATTCAGTCGGAAATACGGGGAGTATATTAAGGTATTTTGTTTTTTTTTACTATAACTTTTTGTTTTTTTTTGTTTTTCTCAGGAACATTATTCTCCATCAGCATATTTAGTGACTTAATGAAATTGGACGATACTTTGGTTGGCATCATCTCCTGCACCAGCAAAATATTAGCCTCGTTTATCTTTGCGTTCGCTTCTACCACTACTGAAATATATATAGGTACTTTATTTTCTAAATATTATTATTTTTTATAACGAATATTTGTGTATGGTCAATTAATGGTTTTTGTTATTACATTATATTTAAAAAAACTTGTGTATGTACTTATGTATGTACGCACGTAGGAAATTATAGGTACTTCTTTGGCGTAAAAGAACAAAAATTGCCAAAGATTTCATCCCGTATGTCACAACTCTCTGTTTGTAAAAGGAATGTAGCTAACTTGATCACGTCGCATTTTGGCTGTCGGTGTGCGCGCGAATCGTAAAAATTTTACTATAAATATTTTTTTCCAAATGTGCCAAACAGAAGTCTAACTCCAAAAATACTCAAACTTTAAAACAATTTTATAAGTAGGCTTTAGCTGTAGAATATTTTGTCAAAATTTGTATTGTACCATCCTAACACCTTATATGGGACCATCCAAAAAGAACAATTGAAACCGGTTCAGAATCAACCACAATCGAATTACTTAAAGTATTAAAAATAGAAGAAGTTTTAAAATATTTACTTTAATCGGGAATTAAGTATTTCGTAGTAAGACGATATGTTAAAAATATCATTCATAATAATATATGCTTTTATGAAGATATTTTGGGACCATTAAAACCTTTTTCGGAATTCCTATTATCTTTATATATATTATCATTATAAATCAATTGGCAAAAATCATCATCATTTCAATGTTAAAAAAACAACTTATATATCAAATATATGGATTCTGTAACAATATTACTTTGGTAATAACATATAATAATTATATTATTTGTATATTACGGTTAAATACGTACGGAATGTAGCGCAGTAATTTAAATTAATTTTGTGCTACCATTTTCGGTAAAATTTATAAATATATTTCCTTAGATTTACGCAAATATTTGATATTTTAAATAAAAATATCTTTTCGGATTTTTTCGCGGATTTATTTTGATTTTTGTTTCCCGACGTTTCTAATGTTTTGCAGAAATCATGGTCACCGGAGAGAAAGGTTCTAGACGTCTCAAAAGTTCATAAATACGTAGTGATTTATTTTAAAGTTTTAAGAGCGGTTTTTTTTATTAAGTGAGTTAGTTTATGTGTTTCTGGTTTCACTTGGCCTTTTTATTTTAATAACTATATTTTTACAATATTTGCCAAATCTTTATATATAGTTTTTTCAAAGAAACTTCTTTTAGTTTAGTTATAAAGTTACTCCATTCCTACAGAATATAATAAATTTCAACAAATTTCATTTGGCGTTTGTCAATTTCTGCATACAGAAAGTATATTAGATGTTTTAATCACGAAGAGAATGTGCTCCGCAATTTCTGCAAGACGAGCTAGTTCCTATAAAATGTTTTATTAGTTCTTTGTTTATTTTACAGCGCCCCTCGTGGAGATATTCAACGGCACGTCTTTCATAGCGATGCGTTCCATTGCATCTAAATTGGTAACCAGCGAGGAATTAGGTATGTTGTATTGGAAATTTTAATTTACACACATATATATATATATTAATATTTATTATTTTGGGGTTTTATCAATAAAGGTCTACTATTAAAAAAACTAGGAGAGCTAGGTTTAAATGAAATTTTGCATGGTGGTATCTTATATCCCTGGTAATTTTTTTAGATACTTTTCATCCCAGAAAATCAAAGAGTTCCTGTAGGATAGTTAAAAAAGTATAGTAACATAAAAACTTCTGATTGGATTTTAATAAAACTTTAATAATATAGTTCATACATCAGAATAACAAATAGGCTACTTTTAATCCCGGAAAAATGTACGATTCCCGTGGGATAGATTTGTTTTTATTTGTAGAGTATAAAATATAAAGGTGGTTTTCGCTGATTTATCCTATTTTCTCACAACAACGGGACAACGCATTTACATGATTATTTACATAGAAATAGATAATGGGCTAAAGAGTGATATATGTATATGCTACGCTAATTATTATTCCAATAGATTCAGAATATTAATGGTACATTGCAAATAATTGTTGACAGGCGTGTAACGTGTAATTAGAGTCTACGCGAAGCAAGATCAATATACTAGTATTAAAAATTAATTAAAATAAAAAAAAATCATTTTGAAAAACAAGATTTTATATCATATGAGTTGTGTATTAAATGAGTTTGATGTAATTTAAATTTAAAGTTTATTTTTTAGGTATTTATTTGTGTTCTTCTCAGCAAACCCTTTCATTTAATGTCCATATCATGGAGGTGCATAAAAAAACATAATACTCCATCGTTGGGAGTCGCTGAAGTTGTATGTCTAACAAGTGTATGCAAAATTTCAGTTCAATCGGTTGAGGATAACTGCTTTAAAATGCAGTTGCAAGATCTGACCCGAACAAACATACATACAAACAGTGCAAGTTAATAGAAGCTTATAAAAATAGAATCCATACTAATATTATTAAAGCAAACATTAAAGTAACTCTATCTGTCATTTTGTCTTTAACGTTTTCACGCTTTATCCGCTGAACCAATTTTGATTAATTTTGGTATGAGGATAGATGGGACCTTGGGGAAGGATATAAACTACTTTTTGTCAGAAAATAAAATTTGAAGAAGGTGAAATGAAAGTATGAAAGTACAATGTTTTTGCTAATAGAGCTATTAAGATGGTAACCCATCTATACTAATCTATACTATAATATTATAAAGAGGTAAAGTTTATGAGTTTGTGACATTGTAGGGGGTAATCTCTGGATTTACTGAATCAATTTAGATGAAATTTGGTAAGAAGAAAGTTTGAGACTCTGGGAAGAACATATGATACTTTTTATCCCGGAAATCATTCCTTAAGGGGGTGAAAATGGGGATGAATGTTTGTATTGGGAAGCAAGCTAGGGACGAAGTAGCTAGTCTTATATATTCCGGTATATTATAATTATACAAAAAATAAGGTTGATATTTTATAAAAAAAGATCAAGAGAAGTGGGTGTGGGAATATTATAAATGCAAAAGACACCTAGAGTCGTACGCCATTAGTAAAAAATACAAATAAATATAATTTTCAAGATTTTTTGGTGGAAATCATGAGGAGAAAATATAGTGCTAGCGTTTTATATTAAAATGAAGATAATACAATGTTAAACCCAAGAGATATAAAACATTGACTCAAAGGTATTCTCAGACAATGGCTGGCGGATCTAGGTGGAATTATTGTGTTATCGCACTTATGAAGTTTATTATCGAGTGGTATGTTTGTTTTGACTGGCACTTGTATAGAAATAATGTCGATGGTCGACTCGTATGTCGATTATCTACTGTCACTTTTTGTCAGAAATTTATCTATACATATAATAAAATTGTAACTAAGTCGAATCTGTACATTAAATATTTTTTGGAAAATATAATTGAAATAGACATTATTATCGATAAAGAGTCCGAATCTATAGTTTTTAGAATTTTTGTCTGTGTGTCTGTCTGTCTGTATGTTACCGCATCACGAGAAAACCACTGGACAGGTTTTGATGAGGTATGATGATAGCTGGTTATCCGGGTCAACATATAGGGTACTTTTTACCGCGGGAAAATATCTCATTTTTGAGAAAAAATACAAAAACTGAATTGTAAGAGTATACTAATATGTAAAACCTAAGAATTTGCTTTTTGGTCATCTGAACGCGGGCGGAGACGCAGGCAATCCTAGTCTTAAATAATTTATTTATTTTAAATTAATGTTATAATAAATTTGTAATTTAAATGTGAAGTTTTTCATTTAGCTTATGTAGTTTAAATAAATAAAATAAGATAAATAAATAAAGTTTTTAAACATTTCCTATAGAATAAACAAAAAGTATAACATTTCCTATTCTAGGCCTACGTCGGATCTCAATTACCTATCTATCTGTGTTTTTCCTAAAAATTTGACATAGTGTATATGGAGCTTTTGTCAAATATAAGGCAGTGGTAGCCCAGTGGTACCGCGCTCGCTTGGGAAATCGAGTGAAGCCGGCTCAAATGCCGGGTCTCGCACCTCTGATATTTTCATGTGCGAATCATTTCCAACATGATTGCCATTTGTCTTAATGGTGAAGGAAAACATCGTGAGGAAACTTGAATGTTTGAGAGAACCTATCAAGTTTTCAAAAGAGATGTGAAGTCCGCCAACCCGCACTTTTCCAGCGTGGTGGAATATGGCCTGATCCCCCTCGTACTGAAGGGAGACCCGTGCCCAGCAGTGGGACGTTAAAAAGGATGTCCTTTTTATTATTGTATATAAAAAATTGATTTCGATTAAATACGCAATGAACGTAGTAATCTTGCAGTGGGATCTCGATCCAAGAATTATGAAAATTAATTAATTTTTTTTTATTTTTTTTTTTAAACACAGCGCCATTTAGTTCCATGGTAAGCTACGAGGCTTGTGTTATGGATACCAGATAGTTGATACACTACATATATATAACTTTAAATACATACATATTATAAGTATAAACACCCATGACTAGAGTACAGACATTCGTGCTCATCACACAAATGAATGACCCCAGCGGGACTTGAACCCGCGACCGCTGGCACAGCAAGTAGGGTCACTACAAACTGAGCCAAACATGTCGGCAAAGATATCGCATGACATACACAAAAAAATAAACAGCTATGGCTACAGAGTGTATAACACAAATGGACAATGGACATACAAACATACATATATACGTACACTCAAAAACTATAATCTTCTTTTGAAACAGGAAGAAAACCTAACCTATACTTGAATGTTCATTAAACTTTAACTTCCTTTATAATTAAAGTTTTTTCGCTAAATAATTTACATATAATATATGTTTTTTTAAACATAAGGATATAATTAGTAAGGAAACTTATATGAACAGTGACTTGCCTTCGCTTCGCTCGAGCTACGTTTTAATTTATTTGAGCGGAACCCTAATTTCTAAATTAACAATAGCCTAAGTCACTTCTTATAACATCAGCTATCTACCAGTGAAAGTTCCATGATTAACTTAATCCATTTCGGAGATTAACCAGAACAAACAGACAGACAGACAAAAAAAATAAAAAGTGTGTTTTTCTTATAGTAAAACTCTGATATTTGACATTACAAACAGTCAATTTTATTTATCCGTATAAATATTATAAATGCCATACACACAATCCTGGACATAGAATACAATACATGTCAAATATTTATCTCTAGCAAGGAAAACGTTTTCAGACAAATAGGTTATTGAGAACCACAGGTTAAAAGATTCAGAAATTAATAGCTAAATAATTGTTAACAGTACAACATTATTAAAAAAAGTGTAGAAATCGGCCATTCACAAGTTTTGCGTTTACTAACGAACATCATTTTATTTTTATGCATATAAAAGCTCTCCTAAGAGTAGCGTGACGTTAGACAGTTTTCTACACACAATCTTCTTCTTCTCCCTGCACATTTCCCAATCACTTGGGGTCGGCGCAGTACATCTTGTGTACTGCTGATTAGGCACTGCTGATAGGATTGGGCAAAAGTTTTACGACCGGCCGCCTGCCTGACGTCAACCCTCCTTGGGAATGCTATTGTTTATTTATTTTTTTAAGTATTCTACACACAATCACAAAATATTAAATAAGATTTATATACATAGATAAAAATTCAAGTAATAGCAAGAATATATGGTTACATATATTAAATGTATATGAAAATAGGTATATGAGATGCCAAAACTTCGTCAAAGCAAAAGGTACTAAGAGGTAAATAAAGTTAACGTTGAAAGCTAATGTTCCCAGGAATTCTATTTATTGTGGAAAATTCTCTCTTTGTAACTTATTGTATTGTAATTTTCAAGTAGTGTGATTTTGCACGTTTTATACTTAACTAGCGACTCACTCTCGCTTCGCTCGGGTTCGTCCCTACTTACGTTTTAACGCTTAGTTTCGATTTCTCAGAGATGAGATATTTTCCCGCTGTAAAAAGTATCCTATATGTTGACCTGATTAACCAGCTGTCATCATACCAAATTTCGTCAAAAATCCCTCCAGTGGTTTTTCTGTGATACAGCAACAGACAGACAGACAGACAAAAATTCTAAAAACTATAGATTCGGCCTCTGTGTCGATAATAATGTCTATTTCAATAAGATTATCCAAAAAATATTTAATGTACAGATTCGGCTTAGTTACAATTTTATTATATGTATGAATTATATCTTTTAAATTAAAAAAAAATCTTTTAATTAATTGTAATGTACATCAGTCATGAAAGCTAAGTAAATGATCTTTTAATCGAAGTTTTTCACTAGAAAGCATTAAAGAGTTTAACGACTCAATTAATGGCTTTATGACAACGTCAGCTTGATAAAACCAAATTTTTATACTCTCATTCTGATTTCATACACAAAGTTTAAAATCGATGCAATAACAATAATATACTAGGTATCGATATCTATATCGAAAATTTTCGATTACTCGAGTACCTAAATAGGTTTCTAACATTTAATTCACAAGTAAAC